CGTCCCCGGCCCCGCGCGCCGCCCGCCGCCGCCCGGCTGCCCGCCTCCGCGCCGCTCTTCATGCTGGACCTCTATCATGCCATGGCAGGTGACGACGACAGCGGGCGCCCGGAGCGGGGCCTTGGCCGCGCCGACCTGGTCATGAGCTTCGTCAACATGGGTGAGTGTGGGCCGCCGGGAGTGGGCGTCAGGGCCCCTGCGGTGGCCGTGCGAATTCCGCGTGGATTTGCTGTGCGTGGACGGCGGGCTGAGTGTCCCCACACCCCTCATGGTGCCCCCTGGGGAGTGCGAAGTGGGGGCCTGGTGTGTCCGTGGGCTACAGAGGCGACTGTGCACAGCCTCGGGCAGGGTCAGCCACCTGGCTGTGAGCCGGGAGTGGGTATCAGGTTCGCAAAGAGCCACTAGTCTGTGGACACGGACCGCACAGGGAAGTGTGAAGTGCCTGGTCGGGAAGCAAGGTGTAAGCTGTGGATGGGCACGCGCAGAGGGGGACAGTGAACTCCCAGGGGCCGTGCATTCACCCCGCCAACACACCAAAGAGTAAGGCTCATGTCATGTCCAGGCGGACCTGGGCGGTGCCGGGAAGACAGTCTGGTCCTGGAGAGACAGATGAGTAAACAGGCTGTGATGCTGTCACTGTGATAAGGGCTGTGCTGAAGACAGGGACAAAGGTCAGCCTGAAACCACTGGTCACATCAGAGTGGTGAGGACCCAGGTGTCCTGGGTCACCGTGGGCTCTTGCCCTGTGCCTGTGCCACAGAGAGGTGTGGGCAGGGACTGTGGTCTTGTCACCCTGGGCCCCAGTACCTGGGACACGGCCTGGCATGGAATGAATGTCCAAGCCTGTTGATTAACCCAGCGTGCAGCCTGGACCTTGTTTGTTCTTCCAGGCAAGCCCTCCTTGTAAAGTGGGGCTTCTCATGATCCATCCTTCAGGGTTATTGTGTGGTTGGTTGATAGAGGGGTTCACCTTGGAAGGTGAACCTGGGAGGGGTTGCTGCTGACCTCGTCCCTCCCAGCTGCTGTCCCATCTTGGTGTGGATGTGACAGGAACCTGCCCATGTGTTTTGTACACATGTGAAACCCAGAAGCAGAGTTTAAAAGCCAACTGAAAGGTGTTTGTACCTATTTTTAGAATAAAAACTAGCATTTGAACTTTTACAGTCTTATAATTCGTCATCAATCCATCCAACAACATGTGAAGCTGATTTGCCAGCCCCATTTCCTGGGTGAGGAGATGAGGCCCAGAGAAGTTAAATGGCGTGCCCAGGGCCACCCAGCATATCCAGGGTATCATCCAGGGCTGTGGATTCCAAATCTTAGGTCTTCCCATGCCGTCTCTGTGTGTCTCATTAAGATCTGAGGCCTCCGATGCTGTCGGATTAACAACAGATCTTTGTTCATTGGAAGTTTAGGTTTTGGGCAGGCGCAGCCAGCTGTTGGAGGGCCTTCTTTATTCTGAAGTACTAATCGCGCTACTGGAACTCTTCGAGTTAGAGTAGTTTAATTGGTAGCTACCTAGGGGGTATGTGAGGGATTAGACACATACCAGGAACTTTTCCATATTTGGAGGCCCAGGCACGAGGGCCTGAAGGTTGGTGGCCTGAGAACAACCATGGAGCCTAATAGTAGAGTCACTGCGACATCAGTGCCCACGCCCAGGCTTCCACACCTGTGGTCCCCAGCTGCACCTCTCCTGTTGGCCTCCCTGGCTCCTGAGAAGCCAGGCTTGGTGCTGGCCAGTCCCCTGACTGTCGATGTCTTTAGGGTCGCAGGTCTTCTGCCATGGGCCAGGCCGTCTGTGTCTGAGCAGATGCTTTAGGAAGCCCATGCCGTGGTATCCAGGGACTGAGTTGGGTGGCCAGGGCTGTGGTCCAAGCACGCAGTCCTGCCTGGCTTGTCTGTCGGTTGATCTCAGCCTTGTAGACTCTTGACTCTTTTGGTCAGGACACAGATGCAGCCTGCCTGCAGTGTGGTGGTGGTAATGGTAGTGCCAGACCCGTCTAACTTCAGGGAGAATAAAAATCAGCATCAGCATCAACCCAAAGCTGATTCGTATGAGGTGGAAGTCAGATATACCTCCACTCTCCAACTTTTTAACAATTCTGACACCAGCCATCCTCCCAATGACACTCTACTTCTCTGCTGGGTTTGATAATTCACTGAAATGGCCACACAGAACTCACAGATCATACTTAGAGAGTTATATGGTTTATTAGGGAAGTAACATGGGATTAGGATTAACTTGGAAGTGAAAGGATCAGTGTTAGGAAGCACACGGGCAAGGTCTGGAAGTCTCCCCAAAGTGGAGAGCACATCCCTCCCTTCTTTTGTGTAAGACAGGGCCCTCGTGATGTAGTGGTTAAGAGCTCAGCTGCTTATCAAAAGGTCAGCAGTTTGAATTCACCAGCTGTTACCCTGGAAACCTTATGGGGCAGTTCTACTCTGTCTTATAGGGTTGCTATGAGTTGGAATTGACTCAATGGCAGTGGGTTTGGTTTGGTTTGGGTTTGGTGTAGGACAGCTGTCTCTCTCTCTCTGTCTGTCTCTTTTATTGGCTGTTCAGGCCTCCTCTAGGCCCCCTGAGGACAGGCCTCCTCTCTTATCCCCCTGAGAACAGGCTCCTCTCACCCCCCTGAGGATAGACTCATAACTGACCAATCTCCTCTCTGGGCTAAACTCGTAAGTGACTGACATTTTCTGCTGTCTGGGACTGGTTTCTTCCCTGGGCAAAAGTAACAAGCTTCTCCAAAGGACTAGGGCAACCGTAACAACTCCTCAGTGCCCAGGGGAAAAGTCTCCCAAGCTGTTTTCTTTGTCTCTTTTTCACAGAACCAAGGTATGACAGTTAAGGTTGTATGCCAGCTTGGCTGGCCATGATTCTCAGTGGTTTGACAGTTATGTAATGATGTAATTTGGTAATTATGTAGTAGTGGTGTAGTCATCCTCCATGATGTGATCTGATGTGATCAGCCAATCAATTGTAAGGGGAGTTTCCTCAGGGGTGTGTCCTGCATCCAATGTATATGGATGTTCTGGCAAAGCTCACTTGCTTGCTCTGGATCCTGCATCCGGCTTGTCATCATCTGACCTCCAGTTCTTGGGACTTGAGCCAGTTGCCTGCCATATTGCCTGCCGACCTTGGGATTTGTTAGCCTCCGCAGTTTGTGAGCCAGTGGCCTGCCTTCTGACCTGCTGATCTTGTGTTCGTCAGCCCCTGCAGCTATATGAGTCATGAGAAGCCTCCAGCCTGATGCCTGACCCACGGACTTGGGATGTGCCAGCCTGTACAACCATGTGAACCATTTCCTTGAGATAAATCTCTCTCTGTATATATACGTATATACATGCTTCACTGGTTTTGCTTCTATAGAGACCCCAGCCTAAGACACAAGGCAAAAGGGCACATAAAGAAACTCATTTCGCCACACTGTCCCTGGCCTCACCTATGCTCATGGAGAGGAGGGCCCTGAACTGGGAGGCAAAAACGAAGTTCTTGTACCACCTGAGCCCACCACCATCACTTTCCTGCACGTCCTTAGCCAAGTGCTTGTTTTCCCTGGGCCTCTGTTTTCTCGTCTTGTCTACGGTGATAGTGTCAGAAAAACGAGGCACCTCTCAACCCTGACCCTGTGGTTCTCACTAACACTTCCACATCCTCTCTGTCAGAGCACAGGTTGACTGGCTGGACCACTGATGGGGGAGGGAGGGAGGCATGAAGGACCAATTCTGATTGTCCTCCTGAATCCTTCTCCATACTGTGTCAGCCAAGTCTCAGGTACCCGTGTTCCAGATTGAGAAACTGAGGTGCAAACAGCAGTAACAGGCAGAAGTCTAGCCAGGAGCAGAACAGAGCCATCTTTACTTTTTTTCTGACCCTTCCCTGAACCAGGCTAGTTTGTTTCTGTGATCTTGGGTAGCCAAGGACAGGGTAGTTGATGAGCTTGTGAATTGAGGTTGCTGGATTTGGGAGAAGCAGGGCTGAATGGGAGTTACGGGCCTGGCTGGAGTCCTCCTCTGCCTATATCAGTTGGACCTTGAAGAAGTGATACTTTACCTCTACAGGGTCAGTTTTTTTGGTTCTTTTCTAGTAAATTCATTCGTTTCCCCTTCATTCATTTAACAAATAGTTATGTAATACCTACTATGTGCCAGACACAGCTCTAGTTGCTGGGGATACAGCAGTGAACTAAACAAAGCCCCTGCCTTCGTGGAGTTGACCTTTAGGTGGGTGAGAAAAATGATAAATATATAAACCATGAAGCTTTTTATAACCTGTCAGATAGTGACAACCCCAATCTGGAAACCAGAGGCTGAACAGTAGAAGGGTGGATAGACCTGGGTTGGGGGGTTTCTGACCTAGGACTCAGACGGAATTTGTATCCTGACTCCACCACCTACTCTCAGTGTGATTGTGGGCTTTCTAGTCCAGCTCTAGGAGCCTCAGTTGTCTCCTTGTAAAATGTGGATAATATGGTAGCCACCCCGTGGGGCTGTTTAGGGATTGTATGAGAATGCTTAGTGATGACCACATGCCTAGAACCTCCATGTCTCTTCTTTCATTTGCATCTCCCAATTATTGTCACCCCTTTGTTTTAAAAAGAGATTGAGGCTCAGAGAAGTTAAATGATTTTCCCAGGGTCACACAGTGTGTAGTCTCCCTGCCTCCACATCCTGTGTTCTTTTCCTTCACAGCACCTGGCTGTCGGACCAGCCCAGAGCCTGGCCCATCTTTAGATGCAGTAAGTGCTGGTGAATTGGACTATACTGAATGTTAACATGTGATATAAACTGAGAATCTCATTTAAAAAATATTTTTGTTTGGGATTTTCAGAAATAATCCACGTTTGTTGTAGAGAATTCAAACCATATAAATTCATTATAGAATTTCATTATAGAAAATTTAGACCATATATTCAGAAACATATAATACAGGAGTCCCTAGTAATACTCCCTCTATCTCAGAGAAAACCAGTGTTTTAGTTCTTTGGTGTAGCCCCCTACCTCAACCCTGGTATTTTATCAATACAGATACTAACATTTGTATTATCATTTTTTACAAAGTGGGACATAAATGCCCTCTGTTTTGCTCCTTTGTCTTTCATCTGACAACAAATTCTTTAGTCGACTATTAGAGTGACCCCATGCCAAAGATGTTTC